GGGTATAATTGCGAGATACACTAACAGTCGACAATTTCCATTAGCCAAGCGGATGCACTGTCACGCCTATTTGATGACCATCAGCAAGAACATGCGGACATAATCACTGCCTCGGTCGAGATTAAACCTGACGTCAACTATCTGCTAACTGATGCATTGCACGGTCTACCAGTTACTGCAGAAGCTGTACGAACCGACACAGTTTGGGACCCAGTACTCAAGAAAGTTTCACAGTTTCATAAAACAAGTCGGCCACGTTCATGTCCATCTGCCGAGTTGCAACAGTACTTCCAGCGGAGACATTCGCTCTCTATTGTAAACGACTGCATACTATTTTCGGAAAGTGTGGTCATCCCCAAGGCACTTCAGGAACGGCTTATTCGGCAGTTCCACGCCGGGCATCCTGGGATCAACCGGATGAAGGCGCTTGCCCGCAGCTATGTATACTGGCCCTTCATGGACAAACAAGCAGCAGAAATAGCTAAACGCTGCCAAAAGTGCGCCAATGTCTTGAAAGCGCCACAAAAATAAGAAAGCTATTCATGGCCAAAAAGCTACTAAACCATGATGCCGCAACCATGTTGACTTCGCAGGACCGATCAACAGTCGAAGTTTCCTCATTATAGCCGACTCATTCAGCAAGTGGCCTAAAGTATTTCTCATGGATAGCACAACCACCAATGCCACTGTATCGAAACTGCGCCAAATCTTGAGCAGATTCGGCTGTTCTGAGACAATTGTAACCGACAATGGCTCACAATTCACTTAGGCAACGTTTACGGAGTTCTTCAAGTAATACGCTGTGCAGCACATTCGCTCGCCATCGTTTCACCCAAAGTCGAATGGCTAAGCAGAAAGGTTTGTCGATAAGTTCAAGCGAGCTCTCTACAAATAAAAAGTGGAGGGAGGTATAGAGGAGATGGTTGACCGATTCCTTTTTCTCTACCGATCAACAGTGAACCCACAAGCGCCAGACGGGGTTTCTCCAGCATAGGCTATGATGAAGCGGAAGCTCCGCATGCCTTTCGACGCCATACGACCGCGCTCGGAATCCTCTGTTGGTGAAAGAAACCGCAGAATGAAACAGGATTTTAACCGGCGGCATGGAGTAAGGAAGCAATCGTTTACGCTTGGACAGAAAGTGCTAGTACGTGACTATCGGGAAGGCCACGCGAAATGGACGCCTGGGAGGGTCAAAAGCAAGCGCGGAAACGTCATGTATGACGTGATGGTGGGCGCACAGATGTGGACACGGAATGCAAACCAGTTACGGCCAACATTGTGCCAACCAGAGCAAGCAAGGCCTACCGATCTCCCGTTCGATTTATTGGTGGAAAGCTTCAACTTGCCGAAGGTCGCAGTGGACGACTGCACACACTCGAGCAAACAATCCAGTACACGGACATCGGAACAAAGTTCTCGGGCGCTTCTGCCAAGGAGATGGACCGACAGGCAGAGAACACCGTCCAGAAGACTGCAAGTCCTAGGCTTCCGTCGTATACTTCGGACGATGACTCAGAATGGGTGTCCGGGAGAAAGTAAGAATTGCCTAGGAAATCCACTATTCTAGCGATTAATCGATTTGTAAAAATTATCGCCTCGAGTTCGAATGTTCCGGAATGTTCTAGTTCTACACGCGACTAAAAACCACCTGACACCTCGGCAAAAGATTTGGGAAACCAATAACCTTGGTAGCTGTCCTTCGAATTCTAGAAGTCAGTAAGAGACATATAAATACAGCCAAGGTCCGCAATAGTTGTACAGTGTTAGTTGATGGCGATTAATACGTTATTTTGTCAAGGTCACTGGCGTTCTGCTTTTTCCTTCGGTTGGGCTAGAAGTTTTGTGGAGCAGTAAGGTGTCAATTTCGGAATCGCGTCTAGTGAGAAGATTATAACAAAATTAATTGCGAATCGTCAACGGTAGTGTTTTGTCAATTAATTGTTTATCCTTGTTCGGTTAGGAATTCGTATTGGTGTCATTATTTCCGGATATACGATGTCTTCTTTTGGCATTGTATGTGCAGCGTATCACAAAATGACAGGTTTCCGAAATAATCGTCGATACGGGTTTTAAAACACTTCACAGAATCGGCCTCTATTAATCCTTCTGGTAGTATATTCCATAAGTTTAGGATTCTTCGTTCGATACAAAGCTGATGTGATACTTTGTTCATGCTGGAGACCCTGAGTTTGTAACGGTGTCCTCGTGTATCACAGGGTTCCCGCAGGTGAAATATTGGCCGCAGTATGGGGAAGTGATTCAAGTGTAGTACTCGATGGGTAATAAGATCAATTCTTACACGGCGGTAGGATAGTGTGTAGAGCCTGAGACTTTCACGTTTTTCATACGGAAGCTTTTGTAGACACGGTATCATTCTAGTTGCGATATGCTGTTTTTTCCCTAGCTTTTCAGTTTCCCACGGGTTATCGGATGGTAAGCTGAGGCACCGTATTCAAGGATTGGTCTAATGAGCGAGGTGAATAGGCGAGGGACGGTTTCTTCGGACCATGTGGAGAAATTGCATCGTAATGCCCAAAGCATACGAAGTCCCGCACGGTACAATTACTCTGTATTTCCTAGTGATCACATATCATGTCGTGAGAGCACTTCTAAGTCGCTGAGAGATGAGTTGGGGTGGAGCAACTGGCCGTCCAAAGTGTATGATCGAGTGGCTGCACGTCTGGTGATACCGATGAACTCCGACTTGCTTGCGTTAAGAGGGAGTTGCATTTCAGCGGACCACGTTGACAGTCGACCTAAGTCATGCTGGAGGCGAGCGCAGTCGTCCTGGTTCTCAATGATCCTCCGGGTTTTCAAATCATCTGCAAACTGGGCACATGGTGACTGGGGCCGCTGCGGAAGATCGGTGTTATGAATAGGAAATAATATTGGCTCAAGTACTGTTCCTTGAAGCACGCCACTGGTCGATGGGAACCAGTCTGTCAGGTAGTCATTGACCTGTACTCTTTCGTCTCACAATAAATTTGTGTAACCACTGAAGTAGAGTGTCACCGATTCCGTAGGCCCTCAGTTTATGAAGGAGTACCTCGTGGTTCACTCTGTCAAACGCCTTAGTAAAGTCGATGTACACCACGTCAACATCCTTCCGTTGGTTGAGAGTTCGTACCCACTGGTGGTTTGCGTACATCAAGTTGGTGATGCAGGATCGCCCTTTCGTAAAGCCGTGTTGCGCTGGCGTCAATACGTCCATTGATTCGAAGAACAACAGCAGACACTCACAATCTTCTCGAGAACTTTGGATAATATCGAAGTCAGACAGATCGGTCTATAGTTCTCTACTTCACTCGGATCACCACGCTTGGGAAGCGGTCTCACAATCGAGCATATCCAGTTGTTGGAGACAGATCATTCAGAAAGTGATTTGTTTAATAAATTTATCACGGCTGGTGAGATGATAATCGATAGGGGCTTAAGTATTAGTGATCCGCGTAGTGGTGGGCGTCCTCGCAGTATACTCAGCCCGCGCGCGACTGGTAGTGGTCGCGCGGCAGCGAAGCGCCGTTACGGCGTTCAGCTGACACATTATTATATTATTTATTATAAGTATTAGTGGGTGAAGTCCGTCTGGTCCTGGGGTCTTTGCACCATCGAGGTTGACGAGTAGCTGATACACTACGAACGCATCACATTGTTGGCTGTCGAGCAAGACTGGCGCAACCTATGCTGGTACTGAAACAGTCACCGGTTTACTGGAAAATACGGTGGGGAAGTGTGTAGCCAAGGCATGCGCGCGCTTCGCGCTTGAAATGAGCGTCTGTCCGTCCAAGCTCTCTAAAGCCGGTAGGTCGCCCCCATGTTTCAGTTGATGTTTCAAGTAGGCAAATATTCTTTTGGGTGCAGCTGTGGCGGAGGATGCTAGCTCCTCTTCAAACTGCCGGCGTTTCTTAATCTTTGCGGCGTTACATAAGTTTCGGTGTCTCTTGTATACCGTGTAATCTTCATCACAACCCGAGCTGATGTGTCTATCCCAAAGTTTGCGACCGAGTCGCGCTGTCTAGATTCCGTATCAAACCAATGCGGTTTGACAGGTCCGATCGAGCTGATAATAGTTGAAAGATTATCACAACTGCAAAACAACCGACCCACCAAATTAACCGATAACCCGTGGAGGGAGAAAACAACTTTGGGTCGCACAACAAATAGGCCAGTTTTCTGTTACTGGGTCAGAAAGTTTGTTGCCATACGTCCAGACACAGACAGTTTGATGCAGGAGTGCAGTTTGATAATTTTTACACCATGTGGCCGAATCGGTCCCCAACTAAGAACTTAGATGTGGAGAAGTTTAAAGCGACTCTGGTCGTTTTGCTAATGGTAGCTTGCCCACAGGACGACAACGGTTAAGTTGCAAACGAAAGAGCAATTATACAAGCTAAAATATTGAGGGAAAACACGGAGAGTATAATATCGAGGTCAGACAAAGGCGATGGTGCTGTTGTTATGAACGGATCCGCATACTTCGAGAAACCTACGAAGTACGTGTAAAACGTTCAGTGCAAAAGAAAAAATGCTAATGACTAAAAAGATTATAATTAAATCACTTAGATAAATCAAGTGAAAAGAGCTCATCGACTTGATGACATCTGAAAGAAAGTGCCCATCGATACCATACTTCTGAAAAATATGACTTACTCGAGATAAGTAGAGGTGGTTCCTTTACGACCAATACATGCCGGCAAATTAATTGACCGAACTAATGCAACGGACAAGAAAGCATCTACCAACCCAGAGTTTGAGGAACACATTCGTGTTCAAATTCACATAGCGAGAGAAACCGATTCAGCCTTAACGTGGAGACAATGGGTTGTGCATATGTTAAATAGGAACGACTAGATAGAAGAAACACAATATCTGATACAAGGCAACCCTTAATTCATCATCTATCACAGCCGAGATTAATACAACAAACATAGTGATAGTTGCAGCCAGTGCGCAAATTGCCGTGAGCAGGACTAATGTATGGAAGAGCATACACTTGCCTTAATATTTGAGAAGCCCAAATTATCGAAGAGAGCCGCCACAGATGATGCACCGAAATTTGTCAGCTGTCTCTGTTCCTTCTCAAATTCAGTCAGTATAGTAGGTTTTTGTGGGGAGGTGCCATGAGGTAAGCAAGGAACTGAGGCCGCAGACTTTTTGGGTAGCTAAAAAGGCAACCAGAAGAATTGGATGGCATCAGAGAGATTCAGGTGCTTGTTTGTTCGTTTAGTGATGTAATGACTGCTTCCAAAGTAGTAAAACAGATAAATGAGCGCAAGCGACAAAACCATAAGGTGTTGAGCAGTGTGCAACATACCGGAGAGAAATCAACAACATTGGTACTGAAAATGAGCTACTTTAATAGCGCTTGTAAACACAGAAATGACCCGCTGGGATCAGACACAGCTGTAATGCAATTGTTGTTGCATATACGTTGTACTCGTAGATATACGTAGTCAAAAAGTATTGAATACTCAAGAGTGTATTTCGAGCTTATATATAGCAAAATGCTGCTGTGTAGTTGGGCTGATAAACCTACATTCCTCTCCATCAACGTAGAACCATTCCGAGTGATCAATCGGTCTACTTTCCTAGGTGGCAGCACCCAAGAATTTACTGTATGAATCAGTAAGGCTAGTGCGAGCTCGCATTGTCTCAGTCATGTATAGGGATGGTGGGGAACCATACATGAGCGGTGTGTAATGATGAAGTTACCTTGTAACTCAACATCGAGAACATGAAGAAAGTGGACTCCTATGAACAAATGTATCTGTGTAACGGCGCTCATATTGGCACGGGGTAACAAATGGGCAGCTCTGACGGACGCTAATTAGCATCACCACCATCATCAATAGTCTTACGTATGCAATTTTAACTGGTAATTCGCAACCATGTCGCTATGACGACCTGGGAAATAAGAATAAAAGGAGAAAGGATCTAGTACTGGAGCTAAATGACCTGTGCAAACATTCAGGAGCAAACGCCCAAACCTTGTCGATAACACGTGGTTATAAATACCTGGTAAGTCATACATATAACATGACCACAAACACACGCAGAATAAGCAATTCGACTGGGAGACGACAGCAAATGCGCTATAGGTACCAACAGCAAGAGCGCTCCTGTAAATTCTCGAGATAAGCACAAGGTGAGTCGCGTGGACTTCAGTGTGGAAAGTGAGGCAGATCAACAGCACTCAATGACCTCCACACCTGCTGCCAAGTTGATGTCTGATTCTCTTCAACATAGGGTAATTCTAAACCACGCAAAAGCAAGGTCATCCACTATAAGTGGTGAGTCTCATATCTAGAACGTACCCAGACAAACACAACTAATCCAGTGTCAACCGCTGCTCTAAGCAGCTAACCTGATTATCACGGCTAAGTGACCTTGTATACATAGCCTTCCGATCGAGTATGATATCCTTTTGTGACCGCAGATAACGCAGATTCACGGATGCAGTTTCAAATTTTGCAATACGTGAACTAACAGCAATAGCCAAGTGTTCATCGATGTCAATGCAGAAACTACGTACGGTTTTCCATTGCTAAGAAACATGGGTCATTAAGCACATGCAACCGCCGTTTCCACTCTAATGGTAGGAAACGCATACGAAAAGATGAGACTACTGCAGAGCGCTCATCCGTCATTACGGTGTCGACTCACACTTGTCGAACAGTGAGCGACTGCTGTTTACATAAGCTACTACAAAGGAGTTTCACAAAGACAGCATATTAATTTTACAACAAGGAAACATTCTGTGATAGCATCCATCATAAAAGTGAATAAAAATGAGGAAGTCGGAAAGCTTTTGTGAATGACATATGTTGTCGAGAAGGTGTACGACTACTTATTGAGGATTCTGGCGCGACCAGTGGGGTTGAAGTACAAAGCCCGTAAAAAGCTCATATATTTAGAGGGAACGTCTTCACGAGCAAAGTTAAATGTTCAAATGTGTAGAATCCACTCGCGAAATCGACGAAAACAGCTATACAGTTCTCTGCCGTGTATAGTAGTGCATGCTTCTGCTGGTGTTCTCCGGAATTAGCTCCTGGAATACTATGCAAAAAGCGTAAGTGAAAGGAACCACTACATTACAACTAGCAGCAAAAGGTTCTTTGAGGTTGCTTATTTCGTGTCTGTGTTGTCAGGATACTCTCTCGTGGATTTATCGGCATATTGGAATTAATTTGTAGAAATTTCGGCATCGTATAGTTTCATTTCCGAATCCATTTTTCTAGATCATCTCGCAGTTCCGCTTTGCAAATTCTGCTCTATAATCTCACGTCACTTTTACGATATTTTTTTCTTAATACCGAATAAATCACCTTGTGGTTCCATTTTTTGTAATTGCTAGTAATACGGCAAATGGTTTTCCGTGCTTTGATTACAGTACTATTTATTGGATTGTCTGCCGATTCCATGCAAATTCTATACAATGAATGTCGCAGATAAACGTATGACATCAATCAACACAGATCACGAGCAAAAATGTTTAACTGTGAGCAGTTCTAGAGATATTGTCATGCAACCTGGCCTAGAACTCATCAAAGGTTCAACCCAGCCTTCCTTTCATTCTCCACCCTCTGAAAAGCCATTACTTCGCCATTCCAGAGGCACGATACCAACTGAGACTAATGATCCACTGAATGTGTGCTCTTATAACTCTAAAGACCAATGTGTATGTCAAGTGGTTGAGGAGTCATGGAAAACTCAAAGACGGAAGAAGCCGCAAGACGAAAAGAAGCTTCTTGCTACTGAGCAACAAGCCAGGTGAAGTAAAGTTCGAAACCACCCACTTCCCGCAAAACCCACTTTGAATGATAAGACGTGATCAATGTTGATGCTTTTTTCACGCGCCTGAGTCCAACGATCTAAGTCTTCAAGACGCCATGATCAGAACGTACAGTTTCTACATAGCCTGATTAATAGGCTTCCCGACAAAGGCGAGAAAGGAGTGGAAGCAAGGCAAGTCATCTGCCTCGGCGAAGGCTGTTCGGAAGGACTCAGGTAGGCGCGTAACTCTTGCTGACAAAGCCAGCCCAAAACTAATACTATCTCGCTGAGTAGGCTGAGGGAAGAGGGTGCATATTAGTTTGCATATAACTGCAGCCGAACGAGGGCGCCTCAAGTGTACCATCATCGAGCTAAAGCGACGAATCAGTGAGGGAGATACAAACCCAAGTATTGTACATTTTCGGGAGGTTACAACAGGAACGCGAATTCGGATAAGTAGATAGCTCAGTTTTAAAGCACGTCTAATAATTCGTACTGCGGCTTGCGTGTAGTCTTTACTAACATTTAGTCTCATGAACAAGCGCGATGATCTATGCTGCTTCCGTGCTTTCGAGCAACCAGATGTACTGGGACTTGCATAGACTTGGTTGAACGATGTGATACTCACCCAGGAAGTTGAGCTTAGTGGCTACTCGTGCTTCCGCTGTGATGGGCCATCGAATGCTGACGACAGCATTTTGCCCTATATCCGGTCTGAGAGACTTCAGAGCGCCTACCGAAACGAAGATGGCCTACGTGAGCAATTGGGGTGCTCGGTCCACCTCAGGCGCGGAGCTATTCGTGGGCGCATTTTATCGCAATCCTTGAGAAGCGGTTTGGAAAGGCTGCTGCATCTTCGGTATCACATGAGTCGGTCATTTTCATGTGCGATTTTGTTTGTCATCGAATACGTTGGACTGAATGGGGCAGAACAACCAATCGGCCAGTCAATAGCATAAATACATGTAAGCTAAGACAACAAACATACTGCAGTCCATCTTCCGCAACACAAAAAGACATGACAGAAGATGAGACAAAACAATAGAAAGTACGAAACAAAAGCCAAATACGTTATATTACGCGTAGTGTCATACTGAGCGACACGTGATAACGTGGCTGGAAAAGGGAAAATAAGCGAGAGGGAGAGGGACGAAGGAATTCACAACACAAATGCCATTGTGGCAATCTCCTCGACATGGGAAGTAGTGTATCCAATCAAATGTATTCATTGTCCTTCGGACTCCAGCAAAGCAGTCGGGACTCAGCAACCAACGCCAAGTTCGAAATGAAGGCCTTTGTACTCCGTGTGATTGCGTTTCGGAACTCAGTCTCCGACGGAGCCTCTCAACTAACCGTCCATGGCTCATCCTGCATGATCTGAGTCGGAAGAGGTCCGCAAGTAGAGGGACAACTGAACTGACCTTGAAAGTGTTCCGCCAAAGGAATCATATGGTAGTTCACATTATGTACCGATGCCCCGCGCTCTCTGAATGTTCTACTGATGCATGCACTGTTCCAGGGAACAGTGGTGCGGATCAGCTGGAGGAGCTTGCGATAATTGCCTACTACTCCTGCCTCCTCCATTTCTCGAGCCCGACTGGTCCACTAGGCTTCCTTGGTAGCGTGAAGCCTCTGCTTTAGTTCACGCCTAATAGTCCGTCTGGTCACATTGTGTTCAGAGCCAGTCGAGAGACTTCTGGATTTAAATATGTTCACCGACCTCTCGGATATCCAGTGACTGGTTCGGTGAAGATTGATAGTGCCACAAGCAGATGCTCATGCGTAGTGCATGGCGACCGAGATCTTATTCCACGGAAGCGCACTGTCAATAAGACAAGAGGCTGAAAGTTCGCTACGCAGTGCACCCTGGTAGTCTTGCCTGACCGAAGACTGAAATAATGTCATCTATCAATCGAGGAACATGCTTGGTGCACCTCCTGGTAAAGTTTATGGAAAAACGACAGCGTATCAAGGCATGATCAGAGTCGATGCAGGTATTCCACAAACAGCAGCGATCCAGGATGGAAGCAAACCAACTGTAACTTATGTCAACGTGATCTACTTGGGTCCATCGCTGACCAGCTAAAGGACACTAAGTGGCACTTCGGAGCCCACTGTGTCTAAAAGCGGTGCTAATAAGAAACAGCCCGTGCTCGACACACTATTGTAACAGACGCTTGCCGTTGTCAGTCTGTTCGGAGGTAGGCCCATAGTTACCACGTTGCTGAGCTTCTGAAGACCTCAGATGCCTCACTTGTACATTCACATCCTCTGCAAGTACTAGTGTATCTGAACTGATAGCATTGCGCAGTAATGTGTTCAGTTCATGATAGAATGTGTCCTTAGCAATATCAGAACTGTAGTCGGTAGGAGAATAAGCGGAAACCAT